GAGGGGCTGCCCCTGCTCCCAAGGACCCATCTTTGTTCATGCTGCTTCTTCTGGTCCTGTTCCTCCGCAGCCCAGCAGATTCTTGCGCCTCCCAGCTGCTGGCTCTGCAGTGCTGCCAGAGGGGGGCAGTGCTCTTCCCCGGGCAACGCTGGGGCTGCAGCTGCTCTGGCATCTTCTCCCGTCTGTGGCCAGGACAGGACTTTGCAGACTGTGGCTGCTGCTGTGCAGAATGCAGGGGCTGGAGTGCAGTGAGCAGGTCCTGGGGCTTCCGGCAGCTTCCACCCCACATCCCTCTGTGCCTCTGAGAGGCAAAGTAGGTCTTATTGGACCCATCACTGTTGGAGAAAGAGACAAGCTGTCCCAGATCTGAAGAAGAGTGGGTGTGAGCTTGAAAGCTTGTCTCTTGCACCAATAATAAATAACCCTTGTCCACCTTACCTCTCTCCAATCCTGGGACCAATGCGGTTACCAGAACTCTGCAAACCCAATCAACAACGTATTGTCTGCAAGAGGCCTATTAATGATCAGATTGCTGGCATGGCTTTTGTGGTGGAAGTGGCCAGTTCTTCTGGACTTCTGAAGAAAGTCAACAAACCCATTTCTTTCCCTCTGTTTAATTATAGCTGGCTCCTGATGGCCAATTGTAAGTCAGTCAAAACCTCTGCGAAGTGGGAAAGCCCTGAGGAAGAGCTCTGGATAGGTTGGAAAACTTGCCTCTCTCACCTACTGGGGCTTGTCATATAAAAGACCTCACTGTGACACTCTGTACCTGAGAGCAGCACCCTGGAACTCTCATATTCACCACTGTCATCACATTATGATTGTTTTGAACACAGTATGGCTTGTGAGGTAGCATTTTAAAAAAATCTCGATATGCTGAACATTAATATCCTGTTGGATTCTATGTGCTAGCATTGTATGGGTGAGTATGAAGTTTTACTGTATGTGCTACTGAAATATATTCTGAGGGTGAGAACACCCCGAGCCAGCCTTTCAGTTTCAACAAATGAGGGCCAGATAGTCCCAGAGACTTCTTAGAGAAGGCATGTAGAGACAGCTTAGAGAACCCAACAGAGACGGCTTGACAAATGGGGACTGCCTGACCCCCAGGTCACATCAAGGATCCTTCTAGCCACTAGGAGAAGTTTGGAAAAGAGAGATGGTGACATCATTACTTGGCCTCTGTTTCCCTCCTCCCATGCTCCATCCCGTCTCAACACCTGGAAGCACATCTGGAAGACACAAACTTTGAACTGGGGAAGTTTGTTCCCAGACAGTCACAGGTTTAGGGATATCCAGAGCATGGGGCTGGGACCCTGATCCTCTTGGCTAATAGCCTTTGATGGCCCTATCCTGCATGAACTTATCTAATTCTTTTTTGAACCTTGATCTAGTCTTGACCTTCACAGTATCTCTGGGCAACACGACAGGTTGAGAATGCGTGGTGGTGTGTAGAGAACGACTTCCTTTTGTTTGTTTTAATGCTGGTGCCTATTAAATTCATCAGATGACCCCCAGGTCTTGTGTTATGAGAAGGAATCAACAACACATCCTTATTTACATTTTCCATACTCGTCTTGATTTTAAGGACCTCTATCCTATCTCCACTTAGTTATCTCTTTTTCATGCAGAGAAGTCCCAGTTCCATAAATTTCTCATCAGATGGAAGTTGTTCCTTACCTCTCATCATTTTTGTTGTCCTTCTCTGTACTTTTTCCAAATCCAATATATCTTTTTTGAGAGAGGGTCTGCACTCAGTATTCAAGATGTGGGTGTGCCATGGATTTTTAAAGAGGCAATATGATATCTATCTATCTATCTGTCTGTCTGTCTATCTAAGAACTAGGGGTCACCAAATGAAATTACTAGGCAGCAGGTTTAAAACAAACAAAAGGAAGTTTTTCTTCACACAGTACACAGTCAGCCTGTGGAACTCCTTGCAAGAGGAGGTTGTGAAGAGCAGGAGTTTAACGGAGTTTAAGAAAGAATGAGATAAATTCATGGAGATTAGGTCCATCAGTAGCTATTAGCTAGGATGGGTAGGAATGGTGTCCCTACCCTCTGTCAGAGGCTGGGAATGGGTGATGGGAGAGGGATTGCTTGAAGATTTCCTGTTGTATTCATTCCCTCTGGGGTATGTGGTATTGGCTACTCTGGGAAGACAGGACACTGGGCCAGATGGACCTTTGGTCTGACCCAGTATGGCCGTTCTTATGTTCTTATCCCTTTCCCAAGGATTCCCAACATTCTGTTAACTTGTTTAACATTGAATGGCTGTTTTCAGAGAACTCTCCACGGTGCCGCTAAGCTCTCTTTCTTGAGTGGTAACCATTAATTTAGATTCCAACATTTTATATGGGGAGCTGGGATTGTGTTTCCCAATACGCATTACTTGGCATTTGTCAACATTGAATTTCATCTGCCATTTTGTTGCCCAGTTACCCTGTTGTGTGAGATCCGTTTGTAGCTCTTCACGTTCTGCTTTGGACCCACTGATTTCATGGACAGAGGCCTTTGTGATAATGTACTCTGACCTCCTCTGTAACATAGCCCACAGATCTTCCCCAAAAATTCCTAGAGCAGATCTGTTAGAAAAACATCAATCTTGATTTTAAAATGACCAGTGATGGAAAATCCATCCAATAGCTAAATACTCTCACTGTTAAACTTTACATCATATTTCCAGTCTGAAATTGGTTAGCTTCAGCTTCTTGGCATTGGATCATGTTGTACCTTTCTCTGCTAGATTGAAGAGCCATTAAATATTTGTTCCCCATGTAGATCCTTATAGACTGGGATTAAGTCACCCTTTAACCTTCTCTTTGTTCAACTAAGCAGACAGCTGCAGGAGTTTCTCTCTATAAAAGCATGTTTTCTATTCCTTTAATCATTCTTGTGTCTTTCTTCTGAACCCTCTCTGATCTCTCAACATCCTTCTTGAACTGCAGACAATGAAAGTGAGGACAATATTACAGCTGTGGCTGCATCTGTGCCAAATAAAGGCAAAATAATCTCGTAAATTTTTCTTTGCTGAAGATTAAGTTCCATAAATCTTGCTCCACCGTCTCTGTTCTTCAGACATCATTGTAGCTCTTTGCTGAAGCCTCTCCAACTCTGCCCCGGGGATGTATCCAGCTTGTTAACATCTGCATTTATGTTATTCAGCCCTTCTCTCTCCCTCCCTGCTCCCAGGCCAGTGTAGCAATCAAGTGTCTTACACAGAAATAGTAAATAGCATGGGGAATGCAAATGAAGGTATTCTCTTTGAGAAACAGACTTTTCTACCTCTTGGGCTAAAGCTTTACTCTCACTGGTGAGTTTTACTAGCAGGATGCATTATAATTATTATTAACACTTGGTATTTTGTTTGCACTGGGGAGCCCTGTCATGCACCAGCACAGCATTGTGCTAGATACTGTACAGACACAGAAAGCAACCCCTGACTTGTGCTCTTCCACTGAATCAGAAAATTACATTGAAATAGAAACAGGCAGCTCCAATAAAATCACTCAGTGAGGTTTGCAAAGGTGACTTGATTGGTTCCCAATCATGTCTGCAGGTTTATTTGTTTTTATTGACTATCAAAATAAAGATTTTCCCATTAGATGCCCTAGAAGACACAAGCAGTCACAAGGGCTATAGCAACGGTACTGAGAGCAATCCCTAGCGAAGATGGCAGCGGGTCCACTCCAGGGTTTCAGCAGCCAGATTTTGTTTAGATGTCACTAGAGGACAAAAGCAGGAGTAGAGTTAGTAATAGAGAGGTAGCCGGGTTAGTCTGATCTGTCAAAAACAAAAGGAAAAACTATGAAGCATTTTAAAGACTAACAAGATGGTTTAATAGGTGATGAGCTTTCGTGGGCCAGACTCACTTCCTCAGATCATATTCTAGAAAAGAATTGTGCCTGGCCCACGAAAGCTCATCATCTAATAAACCATCTTCTTAGTCTTTAAAGTGCTACATAGTCCTGTATTTTGTTTCAGCTACACCAGACTAACATGGCTACATTTCTACCACTGTTTAATAGGTGATGAGCTTTCGTGGGCCAGACTCACTTCCTCAGATCATATTCTAGAAAAGAATTGTGCCTGGCCCACGAAAGCTCATCATCTAATAAACCATCTTCTTAGTCTTTAAAGTGCTACATAGTCCTGTATTTTGTTTCAGCTACACCAGACTAACATGGCTACATTTCTACCACTGTTTAATAGGTGATGAGCTTTCGTGGGCCAGACTCACTTCCTCAGATCATATTCTAGAAAAGAATTGTGCCTGGCCCACGAAAGCTCATCATCTAATAAACCATCTTCTTAGTCTTTAAAGTGCTACATAGTCCTGTATTTTGTTTCAGCTACACCAGACTAACATGGCTACATTTCTACCACTGTTTAATAGGTGATGAGCTTTCGTGGGCCAGGCACAATTCTTTTCTAGAATATGATCTGAGGAAGTGAGTCTGGCCCACGAAAGCTCATCACCTATTAAACCATCTTGTTAGTCTTTAAATTGCTACATAGTTTTTCCTTTTGTTTTGTAGGAGAGGAGTTAGTCAGCCTCCTTCAGGCTGGGAAGAGGTCTCTGAAAGAATCCTTTGCCCTTAACCTATTCAGGTTAAGACCAGAAGGAGTATTTGGGTATCAAGGGTACATCTAGACTGCGTTGCTCTTTTGGGATACTGGAAATATCCCAAAATAGCAATGCCGCACTTTTAAAATCTCCTGCTATTACCTGAAATAGAAAGCAAGCTATTCTGGCATCCCAGTTAAGGGATTTTTTCGGAATAGTGCCTTATTTTGAAATTTGGCACTGTGTAGACAGAGCTAAATTTCAAAATAAGCTCTTTGGACTTAAACTAAGAATAAACTAAGCAAACTGCGTAGCTTATTCCGACACAAGGGTGCTGTCTAGATGCATCCTTATTCTGACTTGCTGCAGAGCACATGCCAGAGAATTACAACCACACTTTCCTGTAGTGTGGAAAGAACTCCACTGTGCTGCAGCGGAAGGGGATGCTTTCACAAACAGTAGCTTGTAGTTGGATTGCAGTGTATCTTTTAGATCAGTGTTTGTTAAACAGAGTTCAACATGGCAACTTTTCTTTTTTTTGCTCAATAACTTTCCCCCAACCCCTCCCCCCAACGTTTTTTTCCTCAACAAAAAATCCTTGGTGTTCCTCATTAAAAAAATATATATTGTTTGATGTTCTTCGGTCTTAAAAAGTTGAAGAAACATTGTTTTAGATGATTACATAGTCATGATATAAAGAGCAGCAAGTGATGGTGAATCTACTGCACTTCTTGGTGAGTTCTCCCATGTTTAATCATTCTCGCTGCATTTTATTTATCATTTCTAATGGCATCTTCCAGATACTGGGACCTGCTCTGCCTTTGTCTGCTAGATTAAGGAGCCCTCTGCTATCAGAAGTCTTCTTCCCATGGAGAACCAATGGGTCATCAGACAGGCAGCGTCTGCAGAGCCACTCACCACCCAGAGAAATCTCCAGCCTTCCAGGCATTGACGACCTCAGTGATGTTCCTTGCAACCCCCCCATCAGGCAGCTGCAGGTCATCAGCAACATCGTCGTTGAAGTTCCCGCAGGATGCGCACAGCTTGTTAGCCAGGCTCTCGCCGACTCGCACCGTCACCTGCCCACTGGGGCTGAACAGAACCTGCACCCCCGAGGCCTGGACCACGGCCACACCGCCCTGAGACTCGCTCACCGACACCACGTCGGAGACCTTTGCTGGGAGCCACACCGAGCGCCCGTTCACCTGGGACACACAGATATAGGTCAGAGGAGAGCCAGGGAACATGAGGGTGAATGAAATGGGGGCCAGAGCTGAGCTGGAGTTCACAGGCCACATTACACGGTAGCAGGATCTAGAGCCTACAGGCCCCATTACAACACTAGATCTAGAATTCATGAGCCTCAATACCAGGAAATGGGATCTAGAGTCTCTGGGCCACATTAAAGAGCTACAGAGTTAGGCTGGGAGGTGCAGAAAACACTCTGAGGAGCCAATCAATGACCAGTGCTCTGGAGAGCAAACTGTTCTGATTTGCTAAGTACCCAATAAAGGTGCAGTGATTTGAAACTTGATTCGCCAAAGTCCCTCCTGCCCTCAGTGGTATGTCTCTCAGAGGGAAAAGTAAAGAACTCTAGAGATGTGATACAAATAATGTAATGCCATAATTTACATATTTGGTCAATGGTATGTGCACTTATTTTTATAATGACAGTGGCCAATTAAGAGAGGGATAAAAAGGGGGAGGTCATATATTCTGTGAGAACAACTTCTGTTGGTGGCAGCACAAGCTCTAAGGTTGCACAGAGCTCTTCTCCAGGCCTGCCTAGCTCACAGACAGTGTCCCTGCCTCTCCTCCTCCAATCTTCAAGGTGAGACACAGTGAGGGAGGGGCGGGGGCTGGGAGGCAGGACTCCTGGTTGGCATCCCCAGCTCTGGAAGGGGAGTGGGCTCTGGAGGGCTAGAACAGGGGGAAGTCAGGACTCCTGGGTTCTAATTCATTCTTTGCTACTGAATAATTGTTCATCCACCGCTCGCCACCCCCAGAGCCTGTACCCCACATCCTGTCAGCACAGGGGGTTCGTGAGGCTCATGAACTGGTCACCGAGCTGCCCAGATGGGCCTCGGTTATGAGGGTCAACATTCCTGTAATGTTCATCAATTCACTGGCCGCTGAATGAGCTGCCTGCCCCTTGGCCTGAGGCTGTTCTGACACGGGCCCCTCTTACCCAGGTCTCCTTGCTCCTTTTCACAGCTATGAAGGCATCTTGGAAGAAAATGTAGGCGGTCGTCCCAGCCGTGCGTCCCTCATCACCACAGGCCCTGACCTCCACCACCAGCCTGAACCAGGAGGGGGTGCTGCTGTTGCAGAGAGACGCCAGCTCGTACGCTCCACTGGGGAGATCTCCACCAGAGGCGCCGTCGAAGGAGGTGAGCTGGCCTCCCGGGAGCAGGATGCACCGGCCCTTCTGCTTCACACAGCTGCGCACCCCCTCCTGTAGCGCACAGATCTCCTGGACAAGGCATCTGTGTGGCTTGCAGACGAGCCCGCCTGAGGCCTGGCAGGTGCATTTCTCTGAGCAAGTGCTGGAGATGACACTCTCCCCGGCCTGCAGGGAAATTCCCAACAAATTTGTTACAGCAAAGCAGTGTGAGAAAAATCCTGGGATTGGGACTTTTCAACTCAAAGCTCCCTTTGATTGTTTAAATTGTGGGAGGCTGTGGAGGTCGGGGGCTTACCTATCCATTGCACTGGGGGCTTACCTATCAATAGTGAGTGAGCAGAGTTATTTCGGGGGATCTTTCTTCTGTGCAGGTAGCTTAGCCCAGGTGTGAACAGCCAAAGTGCAAAATCCTACTCAAATTACTGTATCCCCCTCCTCCATAGTGCTGAGCTCTGCCATGTGTGCCACTGGGACCTCTAGGGGCATATGCCATGGTGCTTTGTGCTGCAATAATCTGAGCAGCTCCAGAGGTGATCAAAGTGGGAATTTTAGTAATATTTGATGAGGTCTATGACCGCCTCAGTGTCCCTTGGTGCATTGTAGTGCTGTGCACTGAGTGTAAAGGGGAGGGGGTGAGGTGTCATCCTCATTTATACTCATGTAGTTGCCTGGTTGGATGCTGGGGTCAGTAACAAATGGAGTAAAGTCCAGACCTGTGAATGGAGGGGCTGGAAGAGACAGTGGAAACGGCAAAGCCCGGGACATTCACCAGCACTGACTGACCACTCAGAGAGAATTTAACTGCAAGAAAGCAGAGCAAAGGCCCTGATCTGGAGAAGGGGAAAGGTGCCAGTGGCTGGGTGGAGAGCCAAGCTCATGGGGGCTCTTCTTTCTGCCTTTCTCTTTCTTCCTCTCTCTGTCTTTCCCTCTCTGGGCTAACCCAAGACCTTTCAGATGCTGTAGCTAGGGGATTAACAACCTGTTACCTTGAATACTTGTAACACACACACTTTCTGGGGGTATGTCTACACTACCCCCCTAGTTCGAACTAGGGGGGTAATGTATGCATACCGAACTTGCTAATGAAGCCCGGGATTTGAATTTCCTGGGCTTCATTAGCATAAAGCCGGCGCCGCCATTT